GAAGTTCCAACCTGGGAACAGTCACTGGTTTCAGAAGAGTGACTCTTGCTTTTCTAAGACAAAGGAGCAATGTATGTTACTATGAACATCAACTAATCTCAGATAGGAACATTGTCCATATCCTGTAAGACTAGCATCTGAAAAATGGTGCAGTTCAACTTTCTTCAAGTCTTCAAAACTTTCTGGTTTGTAGCATCTCCTGATTTTGAGATCAGCCAACTTAGGAATTTCAGAGAGCCATGATTCCCATTTTGTACTAAGATTATCTGGTAGGGGTTCATCCCATTCCATACCCTTCTTGCACATCTCCTGTAAAATACGTTTACCACACAAGACAAGTGGTGCATGAAATCCGAGTGGGTCAAATATCGAAGCCACAGTTGACAGGATACCACGACGTGTAGGGGAATGATTTCTAATGGCTGGTCTGAACTGAAAGGAATCTGATTCTCCACACCATTCAACACCGAGGGCTCTTTCTACTGGTAGGTCACTGGAAGAAAGATCTAAGTCCTTGATGTTTTGTGCTTGCTCTGAGATAGGTATCGATTCCATAGTATCCCTGCTATTGGAAACAAATTTGTGCAGACGAAGATTCCCTTCTGCACAAAGATCACGAACACCTTGAATGAGTTTAATAGCTTTAGACACTGATTCAACACTTTGCAGGCCATCATCTACATACAAATTCCTGTTAACAAAGTAGACTACATCACTACCATACTGTTGATTATCTTTAGCTATACGTTTAAGGCATTAATTCGCACACACCGGTGAAGACACTGCACCAAAGAGATGTACTCTCATCTTGTATACAACTGGGTTAGAATCTATATCATCATTCTTCCACCAAAGAAATCGAAGAAAATCTCTATCCTGCTTTGCTACTCTGAATCTATGGAACATTCTCTCGATATCACACATGATAGCAATCTTCTCTTTCCGGAAGCAACAAAGAACACCAACAAGAGAATTTATTTGGTCTGGACCTTGCAATAAATGGTCATTTAGGCTTGTTTCTTTGTATCTGGCACTACAGTCAAATAAAACACGTATTTTACCAGGTTTTTTGGGGTGGTAGACTCCATGGTGAGGTATGTACCAGACATGTCCGACTTCTTCTTGTTCCTCAACTAATTCTGCATCGCCCGCTGAAATGATGCTCTGCATGAACACTTTATAGTCATTTAAGTACATAGGATCACTCTTAAATCGACGCCAAAGGTACTGCAGGCGATTCTCTGCCATAATCATGTTGTCTGGCAATTTAGGTTTATCATGTTTAAACGGGAGTGGCATTGTATAAAGCCCATCATCTCCCTTGTGAATACCATTCTCAATAATCTTCATGAACCGGAAATCTTCCTGAGACATAAACACTTCATCAGTTCTGGTTTCATTAAAGTCAGATTCAAGTAATTTCACTCCATCCAAAGGACAGACAATTCGTTCTTTTGTTGAAGTCTTGAAAGCATAGCAAATCTCTGATGGTGTATACTGCTTTTCATAAGAGTTGTGTACATCCCCAGTACCATTAATGCTGAGTACCAAGTTGTCTGGTATTACCTTGGTAAGTATTCTATGTGAAACACCGAAAATATTTTCACTCTCTTCTGCCTGTCATCTGCCCAACAATGCTCCATCCCAGGTCTGTTTCTATGGCGAATGGTTGATTTCCCACTCCTGTGATGCAGTTACAAGGTGCAATGGCTTGGGGACAATCATAACCGATTAATAGATCTACTTCACACTTCTGTATGGGATGTATCCTATGAGCGATTTGGTGGAGATGAGGCCAATTTTCTGTAATCTCAGGAGTTGGTATATGCGATTTGTTGACTGGAATGTACTCTAACGAGTATGCAGTTGGTAGTGTAACGATTACATCAGAATCAAATCCATGAACACTGAGATTGGGATACTTTCTGCAGGGAATAACTTGATCACTTGAAGTCATGGTTGTTAAACGAAGACTAACTGGATCTGACTTTGTTTTGAGCTGCTCTGCTCAAAAAATACATAATCAAATTAGAGATCTGTCAAGCACTCCACGAAAAGATATTTTGATGGGCATTGATCGAGTGAATGCCAATGTGAATCAGACAGTTCTTCGTGCACAACGTGTAATAAAACAGGCTGAAATTTCGAGTATGGTGTCCATTGGTTCTCTGTGGTCATCTAGTTCTAAATCAGTCATTTCGCATTGCTCACGGTCTTCTAAGCACTCAAAAGAAGCAAATTCATCATCATTACGCAGGGCTTCCGCTGTTAAAGCAGCTGCCCTTCAAGCTGAGTTGGAAGCCAGAGAAGAGGCTATTCAAGAGGAGGAGTTAAAGGTACTAGAGCTTGAGGAGAGTAAGCGAAGGGTTGCAGCTGAAGCAGAAATGCAGCGCAGGTTAAGAGAGCTCGATAGACAAAAAGTAGTAAGAGAGCTTCGTATTGAAAAGGCTAAGTTAGCTGTATATGAAAGGGAAGATTTATTTGAAAATTTTCCAGTTAAAAGAGAACCCAAGTCAGTGCCACCTGCAATGGTAGATACACATAGTACAGGAAAACCAATGGTGATAATGGAGCCACATAGCCCTCCTGTAGTTGAACAATCAAATAATGATAGACACAAATGCCAACCAGTATTATCTCAGGAGTATTGCCCAACTACAGCGCAGAATGACCTTAAAGCACTGACTGAGAGCTTGAAAGCGTCAGTGTCACTGAGTCGACTACCAACACCAGAACCGTTGGTATTCACAGGAGACCCATTAGCATATCCAGATTGGATTACTTCATTTTCTACTTTAATCAAATCACATGGTATTCCGCCTGTTGAGAGGATTCATTACCTGAAAAGGTACTTAGGTGGCTCTGCCAGAGAAGCGGTAGAGGGATGCTTTCTACTCAGAAGTGAAAGTGCTTATGATGTAGCCAAAGCCACTCTCGAAGAAAGATATGGAAATCCTTTCACATTGACCGAGGCCTTTAGAGATAAGATTGACTCATGGCCAAAGATTTCTGGCAAAGATTCCAAAGCCTTGCGACGGTTTGCTGACTTTCTAAAACAGTGTCTCATAGCCATGAGAGTCACAACAGGTATGGAAGTGTTAAATGATGTTCGAGAAAATAGAAAAATGCTTCAGAAACTACCAGATTGGCTTATAAATAGATGGAGTCGTACTGTTGCAAAGACAAAGAAATGCACAGATATATACCCCTCATTTAAATCATTTGTTTCTTTCCTGCAGGAGGAAGCAGAAATTGCATGTGACCCGTGCACTTCTGTGGAATCTCTGAAATCTACCCTGCAGAAAGACAGAGATACATCTCAATGCTACACACCCAGAAACGGCAGGCCTGGAGGTCGCACTCTATCAACCATAGCAAAGCCAGAAAAAGATGACCAGTCCTGTATTTTCTGTAAGAAGGGTGGACATAGTATTCAAGAATGCTATACTTTTACAGCTAAGACCATGTCAGAGAAACAAGATTTCATCAAAAAGGGTGGTTATTGTTTTGGTTGTCTGCATTCTGGTCATGTGTCTAGGAAATGTCCAAATCGAAGTATATGCAAGAAGTGCAGTAAGAAACATCCCACTAGCTTGCATAGTGAAGAAAGAATAAACATAACCAAAGTACCAAGATCATCTCACAGTGAAACTACGGAACCCAACAGAACAATAGATCAAGATGTCAAAGAAAGGACCAATATACATGTGAAAGATGCTGGTTGTCATGGCATAGTTCGCAAGCGTGACAAATCACTTTCATCCATGATTGTGCCTGTATGGATCTCCAGCAAAGAAGATCCTAGTGAAGAGATGTTAGTATATGCACTACTTGATACACAGTCTGATACTACATTTGTATTGAATCATGCTGCAGAGCAGCTCAAAACAAAGTCAGATCCAGTTAGTCTTCGTTTAACAACCATGACTTCAAGTGATCGTGTTATTCCCTGCAGAAAGTATCCCAATCTCAATGTTCGTGGATTTGATTCTGATGTAATGGTTACACTACCAACTGCATACTCGTTCCAGTCAACAAATCTCATATACCAACTCCTGAGATTACAGAAAAATGGCCTCATCTCCACCAAATCGCTCATAGGATACATCCCATACAGAAGTGTGAAGTAGGTCTATTAATCGGTTATGATTGTCCCCAAGCCATTGCACCTCGTAACTGCATCACAGGAGTGGGAAATCAACCATTCGCCATAGAAACAGACCTGGGATGGAGCATTGTTGGGCAGATGACACAGGCAGAAGAGAGTGAAAATATTTTCGGTGTTTCACATAGAATAATTACCAAGGTAATACCAGACAACTTGGTACTCAGCATTAATGGTACTGGGGATGTACATAACTCTTATGAAAAGCAGTACACACCATCAGAGATTTGCTATGCTTTCAAGACTTCAACAAAAGACCAGATTGTCAGTCCTTTGGATGTAGTGAAGTTACTTGAATCTGACTTTAATGAAACCAGAACTGATGAAGTGTATATGTCTCAGGAAGATTTCCGGTTCATGAAGATTATTGAGAATGGTATTCACAAGGGAGATGATGGGCTTTATACAATGCCACTCCCGTTTAAACATGATAAACCTAAATTGCCAGACAACAAGATTATGGCAGAGAATCGCTTGCAGTACCTTCGGCGTCGATTTAAGAGTGATCCTAAGTACTTAAATGACTATAAAGTGTTCATGCAGAGCATCATTTCAGCGGGCGATGCAGAATTAGTTGAGAAACAAGAAGAAGAAGTTGGACATGTCTGGTACATACCTCACCATGGAGTCTACCACCTCAAAAAACCTGGTAAAATACGTGTTGTATTTGACTGTAGTGCCAGATACAAAGGAACAAGCCTAAATGACCATTTATTGCAAGGTCCAGACCAAATAAATTTTCTTGTTGGTGTTCTTTGTCGCTTCCGGAAGGAGAAGATTGCTATCATGTGTGATATCGAGAGAATGTTCCATAGATTCAGAGTAGCAGAGCAGGATAGAGATTTTCTTCGATTTCTTTGGTGGAAGAATGACGATATAGATTCTGACCCAGTTGTATACAAGATGAGAGTACATCTCTTTGGTGCAGTGTCTTCACCGGTGTGTGCGAATTATGGTCTTAAACGTATAGCTAAAGATAATCAACAGTATGGTAGTGATGTAGTCTACTTCGTTAACAGGAATTTTTATGTAGATGATGGCCTGCAAAGTGTTGAATCAGTGTCTAAAGCTGTTAAACTCATTCAAGATGTTCATGATCTTTGTGCAGAAGGGAATCTTCGTCTGCACAAATTTGTTTCCAATAGCAGGGATACTATGGAATCGATACCTATCTCAGAGCAAGCACAAAGCATCAAGGACTTAGATCTTTCTTCCAGTGACCTACCAGTAGAAAGAGCCCTCGGTGTTGAATGGTGTGGAGAATCAGATTCCTTTCAGTTCAGACCAGCCATTAGAAATCATTCCCCTACACGTCGTGGTATCCTGTCAACTGTGGCTTCGATATTTGATCCACTTGGATTTCTTGCACCACTTGTCTTGTGTGGTAAATGTATTTTACAGGAGATGTGCAAGAAGGGTATGGAATGGGATGAACCCCTACCAGATAATCTTAGTACAAAATGGGAATCATGGCTTTCTGAAATTCCTAAGTTGGCTGATCTCAAAATCAGGAGATGCTACAAACCAGAATGTTTTGAAGACTTGAAGAAAGTTGAGCTGCACCATTTTTCAGATGCTAGTCTTACAGGATATGGACAATGTTCCTATCTGAGATTAGTTGATGTTCATAGTAACATACATTGCTCCCTTGTCTTAGGAAAAGCAAGAGTCACTCCTCTGAAACCAGTGACTGTTCCCAGGTTGGAACTTCAAGCTGCAGTTACTTCCATTAAAGTCAGCAACTTCCTAAACAAAGAATTAGACTATGAAAACATAGACAATTTCTACTGGACAGACTCAAAGGTAGTACTTGGTTATATTGGAAATGATGCACGTCGCTTCCATATATATGTGGCGAATCACATAGAGAATTAAAGATGCTTCTGTAGCTGAGCAATGGCACTACATTCCCAGTGCAGAAAACCCTGCAGATCATGCATCCCATGGCCTAGATGTAGCAGGCTTGCAGAAGTCAAACTG